AGACCTCGCCTACACTGCGTTGGACGAGGGAGGTTGGCGATGCGTCGACGTTTCGGGCGCGCTCTTCCTTGTCCTCGATACCACCGCGGGCAAGCTCTCTCCTCGCACTCGCCGCTGCGTCTTCCTTGGCTTCCCCAACGACGCCCCTCCCTGGCAGTTTTACCACCCTGCCTCGCGTCGCGTCCTGTCCTCTCAGGACGTCACCTTTGACGAGTCGCTCTGCTTCTACCGCCGCCTCTCTTCCTGGTTCTAGGTCCCCCCCCGGTAGACCCCCTCCCCCCACAGGGTCCTGCTCCCTCAGGTGTGTCTCAGGTCGACCCACCCCCCTTGGTTGAGCCTTTGGAGGTCACCTCTGACACCTCTCGCCCAGGTAAGGGGGGTGACCCCACTGCTGACGACACATTGGCCACTCGCCGCTCCCCGCGCTTGGAGACCCCTCCTGGTTTTCCGCCTCGGCCGTCTTCGCCGCCTCCGCAGCCTGTCGATGTGGACTTTGGTGCTGCTGGGGGTGGTGACACTGGGGGTGCGGACTCTGGAGGTGCTGGTCCTGGGGTTGCTGCCTCTAGGGGTGCTGAGTCTAGGGGTGCTGGTTCTGGGGGTGCTGACTCTGGGGGTGTTGCGAGTCCTAGTGGTGGTGGGGTCGTGAGTGCTCCTGCTGGAGGTTCTGACATTGGACAGCAGCAGCAGTCTCGTCGACAGGAGACCCTCTCGCCGCAGCAGCTTCGCGAGTGGGTTGTTCGGCGAGGCCGCTCTGGTGCTGGAGCTTGGAGTACTGGTGCTGGAGGTGCTGGAGCTGCTAGTGCTGGAGGTACTGGAGCTACTGGTGCTGGAGGTGCTGGAGCTGGAGGTTCTGAAGGTACTGGAGGTACTGGAGCTACTGGTGGTGGAGGTACTGGAGCTGCTGGTGCTGGAGGTTCTGGAGCTACTGGTGCTAGAGGTGCTGGAGCTGGAGGTTCTAGAGGTACTGGAGCTGGAGGTACTGGAGGTGCTGGAGCTGGAGGTACTGGAGGTTCTGGAGGTACTGGAGCTGGAGGTGCTGGAGCTGGAGGTACTGGAGATACTTGAGCTGGAGGTGTGGAGGTGCTGCCGCGAGAGGTATTGGAGGTGCTGGAGCTGGAGGCTCTGGTACTGTGGGTACTGCACCGTGACGACCGTTTTTCTATCCGCAGCCGCAGTCGTCCCTGCCACCGCCTGACTCGGCACTTCGCCAGGTTCTTAGTCTTCCGTCTTCCACTGGCCTTACTCCACCTCTCCTATGTCCTCCGCCTGACCAGTCACAGCCGCAGTTACTGCCTGACTCTCCACTGCCTGCTCCTTCTCCTTACCCTGCGCAGACAGGCTCCCAGGCAGAGCATCGTGAGCCTGATTCTTGTCCCGCCTCCCCTGTTCGCACTGTCAGTCGTGCTCGTCGTCCTCATCCTCCACCTGTCCCCGGCACGCACATTATGGCACTTTGTCATTCCTCTGTTCCACAGCGTGTTGCTCTGCCATCTCCTCCGGCGTCCTCTCTTCCTGACGTTCCTGACCTTGAGTCCGACCTTGCTCGTGCTGCTATTCCTATTGTCACTCGTCTCCTGGCCACTTTTGTCACTGACCCTTCCTTTGAGTCTATTGTTGCGTCTGCCTTAGTCACTGAGCTCATAGACTTTGCTGCTACCTCTCGTCTCGACTACGTTGCGAGTCTTGTTACTGAGTCTGAGTCTGACTGCCCTCCGTCCATCGGGGGTGATCTTGCCCTTGACAGTAACGTCCTTGAGGACAGGCAGTTTGAGCTTGAGTGCCTCGCCGCCACTGTACCTCATCTCGCGTCTATGCTGCTTTGCCCTGAGGGAGACCCGGATGCACTAGACATCCCTAGCGCGCGCTCTTACGCAGAGGCGATCACAGGTCAGTACTCCTCTCAGTGGCAGACAGTCATGGACGCAGAGATGGCTTCCTGGAAGTCCACAGGCACCTACGTCGTCGAGGTTCCCCCTCATGGGGCGAACATAGTCGATGGCATGTGGATTTTCATAGTGAAGCGGCCGCCGGGTTCTCCGCCTGCCTTCAAGGCACGTTACGTTGCTAGAAGCTTCAGTCAGCGACAGGGGGTCGACTTCTTCCATACCTTCTCCCCCACCCCGAAGATGACTACTCTTCGGGTGTTACTGCACGTTGCAGCACAGCGTGACTACGAGCTACACTCCCTCGACTTCTCCACAGCTTTCTTTCAGGGCAGCCTTCACGAGGAGATCTGGCTGCGCCGCCCACCTGGCTTCACTGTGTCGTTTCCTGAGGGTACCCAGAGGAGCCTCCGGCGGCCAGTCTACGGTCTCCGCCAGGCACCCCGTGAGTGGCACGACACACTGAGGACTACACTTGCGGCTCTTGGGTTTGCTCCTTCGACTGCTGACCCGTCGTTGTTTCTGTGCACCGACCCTTCTCTGCCGCCGTTCTACATCCTCGTGTACGTCGACGACTTGGTCTTTGCTACTACCGACACTGAGGCGCTGACCCTTGTGAAGGCGGAGCTTCAGAATAGACACACCTGCACTGACCTAGGTGAGCTGCGCAGCTATCTTGGCTTGCAGATCACCTGGGAAAGAGCATGGCGCACCATCACTCTGACTCAGTCATAGATGGTGCACCAGGTCCTTCAGCGCTTCGGCTTTCAGTTCTCCTTGCCACAGCGCACTCCTCTGCCTACGAACCACTCGCTCTCAGCTCCACCTTCGGGCGAGTCCGTAGAGCCGAGTGGCCCATATCCAGAGCTTGTGGGCTGCCTCATGTACCTGATGACGTGCACACGACCTGACCTTGCGTACCCTCTCAGCATCCTTGCTCGCTTCGTTGCGCCCAAGGGACACAGGAAGGAGCACTGGACAGCTGCGCAGAGGGTACTGCGTTGCTTGTGCAGTACATCGGGCATGGGGCTTGTGCTTGGAGGACGGGGCTCAGTGGTACTCACAGGACACTCCGACGCTTCTTGGGCCGACGACCAGACGACTCAGCGGTCGTCACAGGGTTACTCTTTCAGTCTCGGCTCTGGTTCTATCTCGTGGAGGTCCACTCGTTCGTCTTCTGTGCTTGGTTCCAGCTGTGAGGCCGAGATCTATGCTGGGGCCATGGCTGCAATGGAGTTACGCTGGCTGATCTACCTGCTTACTGACTTGGGTGAGCGGCCTCGTTCTCCTCTAGTTCTGTACGTCGACAACAAGGCCATGATTGCCTTGTGTCGGGAGCAGAGACTCGAGCACAGAACGAAGCACATTGCTCTTCGTTACTTTCTTGCTCGAGAGTTGCAGCAGCGTGGTCCGCTTCGCCTTGCTTACGTGGCCTCTCGGGCCTACACTGCTGATGTCTTCAGCAAGGCCCTTGGGTCTACTGATCATCAGCGTTTCTGCACTGCTCTAGGCCTTGTGCCTACCCTGCCTCACCTGCTGCATGCTTGCTCTTGCTAGGTTGTGATCACTGAACTGCTTGTGCTTTTATAACTCCACATGTGAACTTGGCCTTGTGGCCGCTTGCTTGTGCTCAGACTGCGTGGTGATCTTTATATCCACCCTGAGCTTTGCATCGCTTTGTTCTCTTGCTTGACTGGTCTTGTGACCGTTGGTTGTTCTTGCTATCCCCCACTTTGCCTATGGGGGTGTGTCAAAGTATGTTATATGTTGTTTAGGCTGTAGTGGGCTAGACTGTACTAAGTACAACCCATTAGGGTTAGGACTACTTATATTGCCCCTTCATGCTAATGCACTTCTTGCCTGCTAGTTCTGACAGTTATAATAACCGTTGGTTATTCCAACATACTCTATACTAGGTACCGTACCTCATTGCAGTGTAACATAACTAACAAAGATATCAACATAATCCGACAGCTGGTTAGGAAACCCGAAAGCGAATCGAGGCAGCCTCGGTGTCGATGAAATTGGCCGAACGTGCACTTCTGAGAGTTGGGGCTGTACGCAAAGAAGTAAACCCCGTTAAGGAAAATGATTTTTGTTTTGCACCAACAATCTCGCATGCTATGTGGTGTTTCTAAATGTTTGCCAATTTATTAACTTAATTGATTGTTCGCATATAGTGTAGAAGGCTATGTCCTTGCGTTGAGCACTAGCTGGTGTCGTGGTTGGAGGATGATTCGAGAAAGCCATGACACACCACACCACCACCACCTCACGACAGCAGGTCCCAGACGACGCCCCTACAGTGTCCTGATCGGATTGCACCGGATATTGCAGGCACTGAATGCGCGGTTCTCTGCTGGTAGCGAACAGTGCGGAACAGAGGGTGGAATTCAATAACGCAGAAAACTGTTTCCGAACCCGCAGAAATCTGGGCTTTCACTTCGAGTATACTATCTGTGAGAGTCTGCTCTTGGAAGGCCGTGAGGAAGCAAAGCAATCCGGCTTCCAAAAAGTGCTGTTGCTTTGCCATTGTTTTCCTGCCCGCGTTCCCTGGAGAAACTACAAGAGCGAGCCAACATCATGATCAGCCCGACAGACAACCAACCAGCACAGCCAGCCTCCACCTCTCCCCCGATCCGCCTCCAGCTCTCTGCTCTGTTTCTCCACCGCGCCTCTGGTGGTGTGAAACCCACGCCACGCTGGCGTGGAGGATCTCATAATTTCCAGTCTTGCTGAAAGCTAAGGCTTTAGCTGGAGCAGCCCTGGAAACTCCGTGGCGGATTGCGACAGTTGGCGAATAAAAATGAGCTTGCGAGTGTTTGTGCAGCGGTCGTAGGAGCAAGCGGTAGGGTTTTACGTGAGAAGCTGGTGAGGGTTGTTCGTGGGCTGGCAGAGGAACGGGATGCTAAGGCCTTGGGAGGGAACGGCGAGCTCCAGTGGAATGTTGAGTTGTGCTTCGCTAGCTGCTGGCTGCCCTTGAGTTGTTCTCGCCTCTTCAATTGCCTTTATCCTAACCGTCACGGCTGTTTATCTCGAGCCGTGCCGTGTGCGACGCGTTTCTAGGGCTAAATATATAGAGAGTGATAAACAGAATCAGGTTTCCTGCCGGCTCGTATGTTGGCGGCAATGACTGGGTCGCCGCCAGCGTCTGTGCCGACGTGGATCGTGGAGGTGACGCGGCACCGCGACTTGAGTCAGGAGGCGTTGGAGCTGGCCTTGGAGCACATGGGGGGGCGCGCCGTGACGCTCCTCCTCGTGCACGTCATGTCGGAAGTGCCCACCTCGCGTGCGTATTGCCGCTGCCTGCTTCTTCTTTAAGCGCTCCCAGACCCCGCCTCGTGCTCCAATTCCTGGGCCTCTCGCGCCTCGCGTGTGGGCAAGCGCGTTGTGCATGCAATGCTCCTGCTGCTTCTGCTTGCCGCTTTATTTCCCTTGCTCTCGCAATCGCAATCGCATTCGGAACGGTATTCTGATTGTGGCACGTGGCCTGTGCGTGCGGCGCAGGCAACATGACGCTGCCGGCGAGCGAGGTGGACCCGAAGACGGCGCTACAGCACGCCAAGAAGCTCGTCGACATCCTCATGAAGCCGCTGCTCGCCACCGCCACCGCCAACAGAGTGAGACCTCGCCCACGCGCTCAACTCAACCGCTTCATGCATGGTGGCACTCGCCACCGCTCTCAACACCTCTTCTGAACGCCATGTTCATTCACCTGCTGTCCCGAATCCTCCCTTTCGTCGTCCTCCTCTGCTGCTCGTTCTAAGTCTGTACCTTCCCCCCGCTCGACTCCCCCCGCCCACCCCCCCTCCCCTCCGCCGCTTTCTCTTCCACGCCCTCCCTTCCTCGTCGCCGCCTCCTTTTCTTGCGTGCGCGCGCCCTCCATCGTGCATGGCAGGTGGCGTGCGGCACGGCGGTGGAGCTCAACGACCGCCGCGAGATGGGGCTGTGCCTCGCTGCGCGCCGAGCCAACGCGGATCGCGTCTACATAGGCGTCAAGAGGTGCGCCGTGGGCGGCAGGGCGTGGCGGGACTGGCGGGACTGGGCTGGTTCGATTAGTCGTTCTCTGTTGGTTCCGCCGTGGGAGCGGGCACGACCACCAGCTGTTGCAACTCTCCCCTCCCCCATCGCGCCTCGTCTCTCCACCAAGTATCCGTCCTTCCCCCCCTTCCCCAATTTCCCCCTCCCCCCCTTTCGCGCACTGCCCCCGCGTCGCAGGAAGCTGCTGGGGTGGTCGTCGTCGGGCGTGGTGGCGGCGTGCCAGACGTCACTGCCGCGCGCGTGCACGCTCGTCGTGTCGCAGGGCGGCCGCGGCCACAAGCACCAGCAGCTCATCGGCGCGCAGCGCACCGACCTCTCCGCGCTGCCCTCCGTCTTCCTGCAGTTCCACTCCGCGCCCTCCGCCAATGACGCGCTCGCCGCCCGCCTCGCGCCCCCCGCCCTCCCCCCCGCCACCCCCTCCTCGCTTAAACCCCCTGCGTGCGCGTCCCCCCTGCACGTGCGCCGCCCGTCCGACCCCCCGCCGCTGGAACCCTCCGCGTCCCCCCTGGGCAGCAGCGGCGCGCCCTCGTCCGAGTTCTCCCTCTCCTCCTCCTCCTCCTCCGGCGCGCACTCCCGCTCGCTCCCCCTCGCCGCGCCCGCCCCCGCCCCCGCCCCGCCTGCGTTTTCGGCGGGCGGAGAGGCGGCGGAAAGGGATCCGTGGGGGCAAGAGATGGACCGGGGGAAAGTCGCGGAGCAGAGGCGCGCGGGAGCGGGAGGGGAGAGGGGGAGGCAATCCCGCTTGTCGTTTTCGACGCTGGAGGAGCTGCAGCAGATGGCGGTGCGCGAATCCGAGGTGCGGCGAGTGTGGGAGGGGCGCGATGAGAGAAGAGCGGCACCTGTGTTGGGCCGCTCGGGCATTGCTTGGTTCCTTGGTGCTCGTGCCACCCCGCTGTCTCCGCGTCCTCTCATCCCCCCTCCTCTCCCTCCTTCCCTCCCTATTCCCTCTTCCCTCCCCTCCCCTCCTTCCTCCTTCTCTTCCCTCCCCTCTTCTCCCCTCCTTCCCTCCCCAACCCCCCCCACTTCCCCACCTGCAGGCCAGCGGCGCGCAGCCCATGTCCTCCGCGGCGCGCCATCGTTCCCCCGGCGCTGCTGCGGCCGCCATGCCCGCCAGGAACGCGGGGTGGGGGGAAGCGGCGCTGAGGGGGGCGGGGGGCGGGGCGGGCATGGGGCTCAGCCTCAGCGCGCACTGCTCGCCCTCCGCCACCCCCGCGCCCGAAGGGGGGTTGGCGACGGGAGGAGGGGGCGAGGAGGGGCTGTGGGGGACCGGGCATGCAGTGCGGAAGCGAAGTGCGGAACGGGTGGCGCTGCCAGAGGGGATTCCGGAGGAGGGCGAGGGCGGAGGGGCGGTGGGGAGAGGGGATTGGGATGGGGGGGGGAAGAGGAAGGGGAGTCGGAAGGGGGAGGGGGAGGGGGAGGGGGGCGGTCGCTACTGGCGGATGAGCTGGCGATGCTGGAGGCGGAGGATGAGGGGGGGGAGAAGGGAGGGGAGGGGGCGGGTGAGGGGGAGGAAGCGGCGTGGGTGGGCAAGGGCGTGAGCAGCAATCGCGAGATGGACGCCAGTGCTGCGGGCGACAGTGGCGCTGCACTGGGCGATGGCAGAGAGGTGAGGAGGGGGGGGAAGAGGGGTGCATACAGGGAGGCAAGCGCGTGGACGGGCAGGCAGGCGGGCAGGGTGGGTGTGAGCGCAGTGGGGGAGCAGAGCAGGTGGTGTGCTGCCCTGCCGGCCTTTGCACAATCCCGCTGCTCCGTGCGGGATGGCTCATGGGCGGGCGAGGGGGTGCACATGTGCGCGCAACCTCCCCGCTCCGCCTTTGCACTGCACCCACCTGCTTCCATCAGTCCACCGTCTCTCACATCAACCTCTCATTTCCTCCCCTTCCCTTCCCCCTCCCCAACCCTCTCTTTCTCACTCACACAAACCCCTTCTCTCACTGCTCCCGTCCCCCTCCCTTCCCCCCTCCATCGCGCCATGTGCCTCCAATGCCCCCCACCAGCCGCTGGCAGCGCTGTCGCCGGTGCCGCTCAGCCCGCTGGGGGGCAGCTTCAGGGGCAGCGCGCACAGCCCCGCGGGCAGCAGTGCGGGCGGCAGCAGGCAGGGCAGCCGCCAGGGGAGCATAGAGGGCGTGGCGGGTGGTGGCGTGGGGGTGATGAGTGGCGGAGGCAGCGTGGGGGCGGGCGACAGCAGCGGCACTGCAGGACTCTTCTCCAGGCCCGCGCCCACCTCGTCGTCCTCCTCCTCTCGTTCCTCGCGCTTCCACCACCTGTCGGCGCCCTCCAAGACCTCCCTCGCCGCGTACTCGCAGGGTCCGATGGCCTCGCAGCCCGCCGCCTCCTCCTTCGGTCGCTCCGCCTTCTCCTCCGGCCAGCTCACCCCAGGCAGCATGGGGGCGGTGGGCGACGGCTTTGACTGCCGCCAGTTCACGGCGCAGCAGCTCACGCGTGCCACGGGCAACTACGCGCAGGAGAACCTTCTGGGAAAGGGGTCGTTTGGGGCGGTGTTCCGCGGGGAGATGCTGGGGTGCCAGGTGGCGGTGAAGCGGCTGGAGGGGCAGGGGTGGCAGGGGCCGGACGAGTTCCGAGTGGAGGTGGAGGTGCTGAGCCGCATGCGCCACCCCCACATCGTGCTGCTCATGGGCTGCTGCACCGAGGAAATGGCGCTCGTCTACGAGTTCCTCCCGGGCGGCACGCTACAGGAAAAGCTAGGCCCGCCCAAGACGGCGGACGCGGTGCGGCTGAGCTGGTCGGACCGGCTGCGAATCTGCGGGGAGATGGCGACCGCCCTGATGTACCTCCACCGCAACGACCCGCCCATCGTGCACCGCGACTTAAAGCCCGACAACATCCTGCTGGACGGCAACCTGGCGAGCAAGATTGGCGATGTGGGGCTGGCGCGACTGCTGGAGGCGGAGGGGTCGACGACCATGAAGGTGCGCGGCACCCTCGGGTACATCGACCCGGAGGAGGTGGAGACGTGTGAGATCAGCGTGCTGTCCGACGTGTACGCGCTGGGGCTCATCATGCTGCAGCTGCTCACGGGGCAGCGAGCGGTGAAGGCGGTGCACCGCATGCTGGCGGAGTGCGCCAAGCACGCCAAGACGCCTGCAGGCAGCCAGCCGGGCCCGGGGGGGGCAGCGGTGGGGGCGGTGGGCGTGGTGAGCAAGTACCTGGAGAGCACGGGCGGCGAGTGGCGCATGGACCTGGCGGAGGAGGCCGCGGGGCTGGCGCTGCGATGCGCGGACCGGCGGCGCGAGAACCGGCCGAGCCTGAAGCGCGAGGTGCAGCCGTCGCTGGTGCGGATCGCTGCAGCGGCGGAGGAGGAGGTGAAGGCAAGGAAGAAGCACAGCGACTCGCAGTTCATCTGCCCCCTCTCCAAGGTATGCGGTGTCTCATGTGCTCTCACGCACCTACCCTTTAAATATACACACCCGCACACGGACTGGTGTCACTCTCACATGCAGTCGTGGGTATCACCCTGTCCTGTTCATGTGTTGTGCATGCATATGCCACCACCATGTGGACACTCTCAATCCTCGCCCTGTTCTGCCTGCCCTGCCCTGCACGCACCACCACAACCACCACGATGGCAGGAGGTGATGAGGGACCCGGTGGTGGCGGGGGACGGGTTCACGTACGAGCGAGAGCACATCACACGCTGGATGACCTCCTGCACGCTCTCCCCCTCCACTGGGCAGCCCCTGCCACACACCTGCCTCACCCCCAACAACGTCCTCAAAAACCTCATCGCCTCCCACAAGCTGCGCTGACTTTTGAGGCGCCTCAAGAGCAGCCCCTGCCACACACCTGCCTCACCCCCAACAACGTTCTTTAAAAAACTCATCGCCTCCCACAAGCTCCGCTGACCTCCTTTCCGCTGCACCCTCGCCTCTCACCCCCTTTCCACGAGCTGAACCGAATGCTCCCCTTTCGTTCTGCCCACCCGACCACTGCTGCCTGTCACCCCACTGTCCCCCCTGCTCCTTTCCTTTCCCTTCTCCATTCCGCTGGCCTCTCCACTTCCCTCAGCCATCCCTCCTCCTCCCACACCCGGCATCTCTCCACACCTTCATCTTGTTCCCCCACTGCTCCCATCCCACCCTCTTCTGCTTCTAGAGAATCCCCCCTCTGCCACTCTGCCTCCCATGCACAGCCTGCCCCAGTGCCCAACCTTTTCCCAGTTGCAATGCCCTCTCTATCATTGCAGCTGGCTGGTGTTTCCCTTTCCAGGGTCCTGGCCTTGCTGTGCTGCGCTCTGCGCCACTGGTTCCCCTCTCAAACGCATCTCTGAGCTGCACAAGCCTTGTAATTCAACATCCACAAGCGGTGCATTGCATTGCATCCATCCTTGCATGCTGCTTGCGTGCAATGTTTGCGGGTTTAGTGCACTGGGGTGCATCATCGACAAATTTTACCCGTTAGAAGCATAGCTCGAATGCATGCAATGCAACCATTTGTCAGCTGACTTGTCCATTTTTTTGTTGCAACCGAAATAATGAACTCGTTGTTTTGCATGTTCATTTACACTATGAAAGATCAAGTGTACTTCATTTTCGAGGTACCAGAAAATCCTTGCAGACAGTGGTTGATGGCTAGCAATATGGTGTACATTGCCAATGGCGTTCCCTAGAAGGTTCAAGTGAAATGACTACACAGAGAAACTTGCACTCCTTTTGTGGCTTTTCTCTCGAGATTCGATCATTAGCCCCTCGAGATTCCTTCTCCATCGCTGCGTTCGTCGCCTTCATTACGACTAACTGCCCAAGTTCTCCATTTTCTTGCAGACTTATTCACAGGGCAAGCCTTTGTCATTCACGCTGTCCCGATTCATTCATGGCGTCGCGCGATTTATACAAGACTAAACTCTGCGTGCTCCATGAAAGGGGAAAGTGCGACAGACCTAACTGCACATTCGCGCATGGAGAAGAGGAACTTCGTAAAGCTCCCCCTGGAGCAACTGGTGAGTGTCTTCTGGTGCCGTTCATCTGTGCGATACATCGTTGATTTGTTTTCCACGAAGCCGGTTCATCGGGCCTGAGAGCTGTCTCTGTTTGTTCTTGTGTAAGCGATCCTCCACGCTTCGCTTTATATTGGCTTCATCCGAAGTTCAGTTATTGGCAACTTATGTGACACCATGTAAACGGCACCGGAGGATTCTGTCTTCTCAAACCCTAGTTGACGAAGATGCATGTCTTGTGAAGTGTTGAACAAGGTCTTTTGATTACCTTTCCACCTCCATCCATTTTCAGCCAGAACCGTCCTGACGCCGGTGCTAAAGTGAGTTGCCCTGCGTTTCTGTCAGTTGTTCACGAAGAACAGGCGAGTTCTTCATCATGTGGTTTTATTCGGCATTCCTTTTTCTGTCATCTTCATAAGGTGTTTCAGGGAAGTACTCGGGGTTCAGAGGAGGGGATCTTCGCGATCGCATGCGTTACCGTTCTCCGCCTGAAGATGGCAGACGCCGCGGACGGAGGCCTTCTCCTCCCAGGAAGCGGGGTGAGTAGGCTTCGGTGGTCTTGATAGGTAGGTCGTGGTGCTGGCTGTCACTGCGCCGCTGTGGTGCTAATCTCCTTGACTTCCTGTGTTTCTAGGTCGCAGCACATCACCATCACCTTCAAGAGACGACTATTCTGATCGTTCATATGACTCACACTCAAGATCGCCTTCTGAGACCAGGTGCTGCTGATTGCGTGGACATGTCAGGTCTTGATTATGCACGCATTGCTTTTTAGCAGACGTAACTCCTCTTCACTAAAGTGTTTCTTTTTGCCTGTTGACACTGTCCATCTCAGTGAAAGGCATCATGGTGAGAGGAAACGAGAACGTGGGGTGGACTATCGAGCTGCTGGACCTAGTTCTGGAAGCAGGGCTGTATCTGCTGAAAGGATGGAACTTGAGCGTGAGGTACATGGGAAAAGCATTCTCCTTCAACAGTTTTACCTCGTGGTGCACTTTGCTAATTGGTTCCAATTTGCAATTCTGCAGAGAAAGATGCTTCTCAAGGACGTGACCATACAGAGGGAGCACTGTGACACTCTCCAGGTTTGGATTAGACACTTGATGGTTTTAGTGTTTATATGAAGATAGCATGTTAATTTCACTCCGTTTCTTGTTAATGGCGCAGACCCTCCTTGGCCGCAAGACGGAACTGGCAAAGGATCTGTTCGAGCATGCAAAGCTGCTGGAGAGGGATGTTCAAGAGAAGGAAGGCCTTGTTGCCAAGTAATTGCGGTGAAAATTGTTCTTTACGACCAAATTACACCAACCAGATTGTGGCATGGTGTAGCTGTCGTTCACTTGAATTTCTTGGATCGATGCAGGATCTCTGTCAACCTGAAGACGCTTGTCGAAGCTCAGCAGTGTGTCCAGGCAGCAGAAGACGATGTGAAAAGGTAGAACATTGCAATTCTGCACAAAGATGCTTTCCTCATTATTATTTCTGAGCACTGCTGATACTGTTTCTCTGCAGGTCCAAGATTCAACTCAACATGTTTTTGGAAGAGTTGTCTCCAGATGACTTGACACCCGCAGTTTCTGCTTTAGCGAATCTCGCGGAGCTTCCGATGGCTCTGGAGGCTGCACCTGTTGCACTCGCAGCTGGCACTGCTTTTCCTCCTCTCAATCATGACGCATCTGGGGGGGGCATGAGCTTCGTGCCAACTCCACATGTTGGAAATCCTGATCAGGAAGGATTGCCCGGTCCTGTTACGGAGGTGGCTGGTAACCATTACGCAAGACCTTCTGCTGCTGAAAATCAATCCTCTGGCAAAGCAATCTCATCAAGACGGTTTTCTCAAGGTACAGTTGGCAGAAGGATCTTCCCTTTGTAAGCATTGCATACACGTACTAATGTTTGTGTTTGTAGTGGACAGATGATTATGCAAGGTCGCGTCCTGAGGACTCCATTCATGAGTCCCAGCGGCCAATGAGGAGAAGACAGTCTCGTGATAGTCGACACGCGGAGAACAGGTCTGACTTTCGTGGTTCAGAACAGAGAAGCGGGCGCGGCAGATCATCAGGCATGAGAGACAGAGACTACAAAGACGAGGAGATGAATGGTCCAGCTGACCGAGGTGTTTATCAGGAGGATGAAGACTTCAAGCCACCCAGACCTAGGGCTGCTCCAGATGATGATGAGGCGGGCGAGCAACCTGTTGCTGATGCCGCAGAGGCTAAAGCATCTGGCAAGGGTATTGTCATGAAGTTTCGTGAAAATGACAAGCGGGGGAAGCGTCAAACCGGCCAGGAGAAAGATGGAGAGAAACAGGCAAAGCTGGCTGAGGACTCTGGAAAGAGCAAGCAGAGCAGGAATGCTGATAGCGATAAGCTCCTGAAGATGTCTGAACGCCAGAAGGTCCAGGATGCTCCCTCCCAGCTGAAGTGGCTTAGGGAGGAAAAGGAGTCGGTTGCACGTAAACCGGAGCTCACTGTAAGTGTCTGTCTACCTCTTTATGCTGGTTGTGGTGATCCTTTTATTTAATCTCAACCGTTTTCTATCGTGCAGGTTCCTGCTCAGTCAAGCATTGTAAAGATACCATTACTTGAGAAGGCAAAGCTGGGAAAGCTCAAGGCGGAGGAGAAAGTGGAACAGCAGGATCAGCAACTGCAGATTGACCAGTCAGAGGAGGAGGATGCGTCTCTAGGCTCAAAGAAGGACCCTGCTGCAGCACAGGGTGCTGCAAAGCAGGAAACTGACAAGGCAAAGCAGGAACAGATACAGCAACGCCAGCAGGAGCTGATGGAGCACATTCAAAAGCAGATTCATCAGCGACAGCAGGAGGAGCAGCTGCAGCACCAGTTGTTTCAGCAGCAAATGGCAGCAGAGGAGGCTGAGAGAAGGGCTATGTATGCAGCCCATTACCAGCAGCAGCAGCAGCTTGAGCAGCAATACTACCAGCAGCAGCCAGACCCGTACCTCATGCATGGCGAGGGGTATGCGCCTCCAGAGCATTACCAAATGCCCCCTGCAGAGTACCCCATGGAGGAGGATGAGGCCCCTCCAGGTGTGACGCCTCAAGCAGATGAGGCAACTGTTAACCCAGGGGCTCATGATGTGTTCGGTATGTGCTGCCCTGACTTGTTTCCGGTCTATCATGTTGCCATGCTTCTGTTGTTGACCTCCAGAACCACTGACCCTTTCGCTTCTTCCTTGTACTTCCTTTATTTTCTGCTTCCAGGTGTCGCTGCTCCTGTCGAGTAACTTGAGCTGGTCAGCAGCGCCGGCCGAGTATTCTCGGGTGCTTGCTGCTGCTTTGCCATTCAAGTTTGGATGCTCAACATGCTGTCTCCGACATTCAAGTGTTTTGAAACACGTCTCAAGTGGAAGATTTTACTGTTTTACTTGTGGTCATTTACCAGCTAGTATGTGACCTGATTACAATTTGGGAGCTCTGGAGCATGTGTCCTTCACTACTGGCATACGGTAGATGCCTCCACGTTGCTAAGTCTCTTTTTGAGTACCGTAATCAGTCACATTCTAAAGTTGATCCAAGGAAATGAATCCAGACAGTAGTCTCCCATTTGTGCTTCTGAGCTCGTTTAACAGTTGTGCACTGGAGGAGCTGAGTGCGCCCACAAAATAATCACATTCAGAGGCAATGAGGAGCTGAGAGAGCATGCTTGCAGTGCCACCCATTGCGCTACCCAGGCTGCCTTCCAAGCCAGAAGGCGGTGATTGCCCATCATGGGCATCCATGCTCCCTACGGCGCTGTGAAACGTCCAGTCATGGTGCTCCGAGAGCTCACTGCTCACTTCCTGCATACAGACGCATGTGAAATAAGAGTGCACCATGTCAGGAAGCATGAACAGTGGACCATGAGTGGAGTGAGGGTCACATGCTGGCAGTAGCAGCTCAGCAGGGAGGAGAGTGGGCACGTACCGGCACAGTGGCTGTCAACCACACGTGGCGCAAGTGTGGCACGTGGCGCCTCAGGCGATGGGCCAAGAACATGAGCGCGGGGACGTCTGGCTGGGGGGGTGATGCTGCTGGCAGCGTTGTGTTGGGGTCTGCACCACCACTATTGCCTGTAGCTCCCCCACTGCCGCCCATGCTCACATGCACACTCACTACAGGCCGCATTATGTATGCCTCCCTCCCCACTCCCTCATACACCTCGTCTATAATCACACTCCCTCCCCACGCCCCCTCCTTTGTCTTCACACATCCTTCAAACCCTAACGCTGGCCACACCCGACCCTCCAGGCTTGGCCCGGACCTGATGTCTACCGAGGCTAGGAACTTGGCTTCGGCAGCCGTATCGATTCCGATGCTCTTGTCGGCCTCGGACGGGCCAGCAGCGAGAGAGCGGATGATGGCAGCCTGCTGCTGGGCAGCGGAGTGCATCTGAGCAGCGATGTAACGGCCGTAGCTGATGTGGCGGATAAGGTTGGTGACGTGGCAGAGGTGAGCAGATGGCCAGCGGAAGAGGAATCGGACGGCCTGGGATCGCCACCAGTGCAACTGAAGGGAGGAGTGGGACGGGTGGGGAATGGGATGTGGGAATGAGGGAGTGGCGCCGTACATTGATAGAGAGCAATGAGAGAGCTGAAAGCATGTAAGCCGATGATGGGTGCACGCACAGCCATGGCCTACCTGCTCCCTGTGTGCATCGTGTGGCGGCACCACCCCTGCCACCTCCACCGACTGGGATGCCTCGCTCACAGCTGCACCCCACTGCCTGGCGCCCCCGCAGCACAGGGAGAGCGGGGGCAGAGGCGGGGCGAGAGGAATGGAGTGTCGGAGATGGGAGAGAAGGGTGGCGCACAAGTGGAACGTGGAGTGTCTGCAGCGCAGCGATGCGCTCAAGTGAACACAACCATCCGTGGATGGGTGCAACACGTCAATACAGCAAGGGAGTGGTACCACTTGGGACCAGCACATGCTTACGTGGCGACGCGCGACTCGTTGGCCAGCAGCAGCAGTTGGTGTCGGCTTAACGCCCCGGTGCAGACGCGCACCACCAGATCTGCTGACGTCAGCAGCGCTTCCAGCTCATCCAAGCCCTGCGAGGCGCCCTGAGCGGCCCCTTGGGCGGCCGCGCCTTGGGCGGTGGCGCTGGAGGCACATGCGAGGGCGGGCACGGGCGGGTGGGCGGCCATGGCGTGTGCTGCTGCCTGCTCACAGAGAGGCCCAGCGATGGGGGCGAAGAAACAGGCCAGCGACTCTGGGGTGGCTGGGGAGGGGGATGTGGAGGCAGGAGAGATGTGGGCGGGGGAAGAGTAAAGGGGTTGGATGCAGCAAGGATGGGATGAATGCATGAGGCATGGCAATGGTGTGTGGAAGTCTCATGGCATGGCATGGCATGGCATGGCATGGCATGGCATGGCATGGCATGGCATGGCATGACATGGCATGGCATGGCATGGCATGGCGTGGCGTGGCGTGGCGTGGCGTGGCGTGGCGTGGCATGGCATGGCATGGCATGGCAGTGGTGTGACGCACCGGAGCAAGCGGAGTGGTTGGCATGGGGGAAGGAGCCCGGGGTAACAACGAGTGTGCGGTTCAGCAGCACTGCCAGCCCCAGCAGGCCCCCCACCACATGCACCTCCCCCGCCATCCCCCCCATGCTGTCTGCCCTTTCCGCATCCCCTTGCCTTCCTGCTGCCACGTCAGCATCCAGCTGTGGCCAATCAACTAGCAAAAGGCGGCGGTGGTCGCACGAAGGGGGGAATTGGTGCTTCCAGATGTGTGATTGGGCGACACGTGTCAGTGGGAGATTGGACGCATCGTCTCCTCGTACCTGGCACACAGCGAAGCAACAGAGAGAGCACACAGCACACAGCACACGGCACCCATTGAAGAATGGAAATCAGAATTCACACGAGACACGGCACAAAGTAGGAGGACGCACTGTGGCGAGGCGGACCGGGGGAGGAGTGGCTGGGTAGTCATAGATCGGATTCCATGCCTTCACATCTCGCACCTCACTCCACCACATTGCAACGCACCACACCGCATCAGCATTCACAACCGCACCCACCCACCCAGGGCGGCTGGGGGGAGCATCCGCAGCACTGGGAGGGCGCCGTCCAGGGGGGCGCCTCCCCCCCCTCCCCCCGCGCCTCTGCGCGCGCCCTGGCCGCCGTGCGCGCCGTACAGTCCTCCAGATGCGGCGCGGGCGGCACGCCGGGCGGCAGGGCGACGGAGAGGGGCGGCAGAAAGGAGCCTGGCGTCAACTCGTACGCCTCCTGCCAGGCCTGCGCGCGTAACGGGGGTAAAGGGGGAATGGGGTGGACGAGGGGGACGGTGGGGGCCGGGGTGGGGAAGGGGAAGGTGGGGGGAAAATATCAGTGGGGGAAGAAAATAGGGAGGGGAGTGGCAGAGGCAGGGGCTAAGGAGAGCAGAAGAGAGGAGAGCAGGAGATGGCGGAGACGCAACGGAATGGGCGGGGGCGCGTGAAGGGCGAGAGGGATGCGCGACGTCGAGAGCGATTGCAGCGAGCTCGCAATGAGCCTGGGCGGCTCGACACGAACGAGTAAAGGGATCGCGGCGACCGTTGCTGCAGGACGAGTTTGTTGAACGCCACGCTTATCCAAATGAAGTGCGACTGAAAATACCAGGGCGAATCGAAGCCGCGCTTCACTGCAGCCATACCTCGTGCCACGTCAGCCCGCCGGATTCACCGCCGCTAGATGCGCCTGTTTGCGCAGCAGCGGGAGGGAAGCAGAGGCAGCAGCAGGCGGCAATGAAAGCGGCGGCGGCGCAGTGCAGGGGAGGAGCGCCCATGGCGTGGGGGCGAGGAGGGACGCGGAGGGCGATTGTTGCGGAAGCAGTGTACGAAGCGGAGCGAAATTCTACACACGGCGGGCTTCGCGCTGGCCGGCGCGATGGTCGGGGCACATTCGTCGGTGTGAGTGAGGGCTGCATTCAAGCGGAATGGGGAAAAGGGGACGGCATGAAAGGAAAATGAAGGTTGGTGCCTGTACTCGAAACACGATGCTTCAGTACAAGATGGATGCTTGCGTTTTTATTCGTTGTGCAGGAAATAGTCCTTTCATTTGTAATCAGATTTAATGAAATCCCAATCAGGTGTAGTGAGTAGTGAGAGGGAATGACGGATCGCCCTGGTTTCGGGTTTCCAATTCCTTTCGGCAGTGGTTTTGACACCGCCTTGCTTTGCGCTCGCGTCCGATACCTTCGGTCAGATATTTACGCTATTTCCCCTTTTTGAGTCCAGAGACTATTTATGAAGTTTTATTATTGGGTTATCCAAATGTTAATTGTCGCGTGAATTACGAGTTGCTCGGGACAAAAAATATATACCCCTCATGGAGGGCATGCCATTTGGGAGGCATCAACCCTAAACACCATGAGGCATGGTGTTTAGGGTTGATGCCTCCCAATTGGCCAGCCATCCGAGAGGGTTTATTTTTTTCCTTTGGCCACTAAACTAAAACCAGGTAAACTTCATAATTTCTCTGGTCACAGGGAACTGGAAATATCGAAATCAGCTGCCCCAAGGAGCCGGACGCGAGCGGAAAAGCGAGGGGGTGTCAAAACCACTTCCCAAAAGAATCGGAATCTCGAAAACAGGGCGATCCGTCATTTCCTCGAGCAGTGAGCACATACACAAAGTCGCGTCGCCCGTGAGCTGTCTCATTTTCTCGATGTTGATTCGTTACGAATCACCGCTGTCCCCACTGTCGGGCCGTTGCTTGCTGTGCTGTGCTCGTCGCATCTAATTCAACCTGCAAACTGCATCCCTTGCAGCTAGCGAAAGGAATTCGTTAGCGTTTAGGATTCGCGATTTCTGTAACAGTAAACTGCCCCATCTCGTTTCAGCCAATTGCTACGCGCTCACGTGCCTCATCATTCACGAATTCTGTAACAGTAAACTGCCCCATCTCGTCTCAGCCAATTGCTGCGCGCTTTGACTATCCTCCTCACATGCCTGCCGCACACACCCGTCATCTTGAATTGACACTCCCTTCCTCGTGCCTCGTGCCCGCGGTGCGAGCTTCAATGGAATGTGGACGCGGTTATGACGTGGCAAAAAGTGCATCGAATGCCACTGTATGTCCCAGTTCCCCCAAAGATCCAATGCGCCCCCTTTCCCTTCCGCCCTCCAGCCCCCTTCTGCCTGTGCAGCTGGGCCTTTCCCTTCCTCCCGCCCACCACGCACAACCACACACCCCCCCAACCCAACCTTCTCTCGACCGACCTCTCCTCCTGTTTCCCCGCCCCGACTCTGCGTTCATACCCATAGTTTCTTCAACTGCATGTCCAATATCGTTTGCTTCGCAGTGATGCACATGTGACAGCCATTAGGTCCTAAGCGCACATCGCGCAGCTGACGCACACGGGTGCACTGGCTGGCAGTTCTTGCAGCAGTCTCCGCATGCACGCGCGCCTGCAGTTGCGGTCGAGTCATGAGTCTCAGCGTCGGCCCCTCCTCGCTGCCCGTCGACGGCTTCTCCGACCCCTACGACCCCGCGTACCGCTGCCGCCCGCCTAACTCCACCACCGGATTTCACCTCTCTCACGCTAACGAGCATCAACCGATGATGCCAGGAAGCCGAGGCGCATTCAATGGCGCCCCAGACATGGCTCCGCCACCACACATGCGGCCACCACCGTCCGTTTTTGGGGAGAGTTTCTCACCCGAGCAGGGATTTCCGGGTCCTCCTTTCGGCGCGGACACGATGGCGCCTTCTATTGGCGGGTGGGGGTCGACGAGGGGCGCGGTGGTCATCCGCAGCGGCGACGACGACGACCAGTCGCGCCACGTCCCCATCGCTTACCGCCCGCCGCTTCATCCCCCCCGCCCGTGCGCCTCACAAGCTCCGCCAACCCCCGCGCTGCACCTGGCGGAGGGCGTGACGATAAGGAAGGGCAACGACGACGACTTCGAGGCGTCGCAGGCGTTTCCGCTCTCCGCCAGCAGCTTCCGCGGCAGCGCCCCCCAGGTGAGTGAGCTCCGGCCGCCTTGCGCTCTCCTCGCCCGCACGTGCCCTTCGCACTTGTTCCTCATCCGCCAATGATCCGCAACCAGCGCTGCTCCCCCTCCACATTTTCCGATCCCCTCCCCAATTCCTTTCGCCCCCCTTCCCCTCCCCTTCCACAGGCACTTCCGCATCTCCGCCGCCACGACCCCACTTTCCCCGCCGCCGAGTATGCCCCGATAGCCGGAGCCGCGCCGTCTTTCGACGGCTACGCCGGCCGCGGAGATTTCGGGGCTTATAACTCCAGCCCGCAGCGCTTCGACGGCGCGGGTCGCGCCTCCCCTCCGCAGTACGCAAGCGTTGGCGCAGGCCGAATGGGCGGGTCCCCACAGATGTATGCAGCGGGCGGAGGGGGCAGCGGGGCGGAATGGGCGGGGCAGCAGTTTGACAACGGAGTCGACCCGGTCAGGGGCAGGCGGAGTTTGGACGGGGGTACTGCGCGCATGGGCATGGGGGCGGTGGGCGCGAGGGACGCGAATGCGGCTGGCGAACTCCGCGAAATGGCGGGAGTGGGCGGCATGCGGCCAGCGCAAGGCTTTTTCGCGTCGCGGTCGTATGACGAACAGAGAAACCGCGAGATGTACGGCGAGGCGCCCGGCGCAATGCGCGGAGCAGTGTACGCGGATGGCATAAATAGCGGGGGAAGCTGGCGGAACGGCGGCGAGTACTACCCGGGCGAACGGGAATCGGACGGGCGAAGCGGCGGCGGGAGCCATCAGAGCGCGCTGTCGCTGAAAGAGGAGCTCGCGGCGCTCGACGGGGGCAACGATGGTGCGCACGACGAAGCGCCTCTGCGGAGCTCCCAGCGACCCAACTCCGACGAAAGCTGGGTGCGCGTGGGAGGGGGTTGGGAAAGGGGGATTGGAAAGGAGGTGGGGAGGGGTTGGTTGGGGAAGCGGGTACTCGAGGGGGTATGGTTTGGGGGAATTTGGGCGAACGGAGGATGAGGCGTGTTACCGGATGCAGCGACTCCGATGGTGACGCGCATCGCTACACCACTCGACACGGATCGCCCTACGGAGAACGGGTTACTCGATTAATGCGCAATACAGAAACGAACTACACTTTATTGGGCTAATTACATCACAGTACACAATTTAAATGACACTGCTATCCACATGTTCCAGGATTATGTACAAGCAGCACCTACTTACTCTCCAAAGTCTGGTTCATAGCACCAACCAAGCACGTCCCACTACCCCAAAATACTCGGTAACTTGGCGGTACGACCCATTGCAATGGAGCATGGCCTGATTGGTTCTTATCTCTTTCCCCTCCCTCTCTTCTTCCCCCATACGCCCCCACCCCCTCTTCCTTTCCCTCCCCCTTTCACCCCATCTATGCAACCTCTTTCAGAACCTACCCTTCGACCCGTCGTGCGAATACCCGCAAAGCAATCAGTTCAACCACCAACCGAAACACCCCGCCAACTTGACTGCAGATTCCGGTGCTTACCTAAGCGCCGACTTCTCCATCTACTCCTCCACCTCTCTCTCCCTCCCCTTCCGCTCTCGTTACCCAGCGTCTGGCTTTCCTCCTGGCAGCAGCGGGGTGTGGGGGGGATCCGTGGTGGCAGAGAGTGATGCGGGGAGTGTGATGGGCGGAGGGGGGGCGGGAGCAGGCGGCGATTGTCGTCTTTTTACGCAAGAGCAGCTGGCGAGGGCAACGGACAACTGGAACCCGGCGAATCAACTCGGGAAGGGCGCCTTTGGCACGGTAAGATCGTAGGGAAGAAGGAGCAGGAGGAGGAGAGGGGGGAGAAGGGAAAAAATGGCAATGTTTGGAAAGGGTTTGTTTCTTTGTAACATGGCTTGTGCCTTCCCTGCGTTTTGGTCCTCTCTCCCTCTTGCCAGGTGTACCGGGGCCGAGTGATGGGGTGTGAGGTGGCAGTGAAGCGGCTGGAGGGCAGCAGCTGGCAGGGCCCGGAGGAGTACATGACGGAGGTGGAGGTGCTGAGCCGCATGCGCCACCCCCACATCGTGCTGCTCATGGGCCACTGCCCCGACGCCATGTGTCTCGTCTACGAGTACTTGCCAGGTGGCTCGCTGCAGGACCACCTCAACCCCGCCGCCCGCACTGCTGGGCGGCGGCCTTTGTCTGTAGTGGAGCGCGTGCGGGTGGCGTCAGAGGTGGCGTCGGCGCTGCTGTTCCTGCACCACCACGACCCGCCCATCGCCCACCGCGATCTCAAGCCCGACAACGTGCTGCTGGACGGCAACCGGGGCTCCAAGCTGGCGGATGTGGGCCTGGCGCGCCTCATTGCCGAGGACGACGCCACCACCACGCGCGTGCGCGGCACCGTGGGGTACATTGATCCTGAGGAGGTGCTCACGTTTGAGATCAGCGTGCTGTCGGACGTGTACGCGCTGGGGCTCATCATGCTGCAGCTGCTCACGGGGGAGGCGGGCATCAAGAGCCTGCACAAGCGCATCAGGCCCTTTCAGGATGCCCTCGACAGGTACTGGGAGCAGGGAGGCGCGGCTGGTAGTAGCAGCAGCAGTAGCAGCCCCATGGTGCAGGCGGTGGCAGCGCTGGTATCGGAGCATCTGGACGTGTCGGGCGGCGAGTGGCCGCTGTCCGTTGCCTGCCAGCTGGCAGAGTGGGGCCTGCGGTGTGCCGCCCGGCAGCGGGCCTGCCGCCCAGATCTGGCGGGCGAGTTGCAGCCGGCGCTGCACGGGCTGGTGGAGGAGATGGAGGCGGGGGAGAGGCAGCGGCAGCAGAGCATTGAGGACCAGTTTGTGTGCCCGCTCTCTCATGTACGTGCTGTTGTGGTTTCTTGCTGCATGTGCTCTTGGTTGTGCTTTCCCTTTCACTCTTTCCGCCCCTCGTTCCTTTCTTCACTCTCCTCTCCTTCTCCCTGTTCCACCTCTTCCAGATGCGAATGACTGACCCGGTGGTGGCTGCAGACGGCTTCACGTACGAGCGCAGCAGCATAGAGGAGTGGCTCAAGACGCACGACACATCACCTTCCACTCATGAACCTTTGCCACATAAATATCTCACACCCAATCATTCACTGCGCATGCTGTTGCAGTAAGTTGAGACGAGCATAATGCAAATTAGGCCCAAAAGAGCGTCGGGTTTCTTGGCTTGCTGGTTGCTTGGGTGTAATTGCATCATTTGATTTGATTTGTGCATTGCCCTTGTGTAACGCGCTGATTTTTCTATTGTTCGTTATCGTTACTAACAACGAATCATGAACATGGATGGACCCTCAAGTTTTGCATTTCTGGATTTGGCGTCGAGTCTCAGTCACAAGTCGCACGTGCGAACCTAACAGTGAGGGCAGTTCTGCGCTCTAACGACGCGCGGCAGTCGCAAGGGCGCGACGACATCCAAGCGGAACCAATCAGGGGCCAGTCGTCGGTGGGGCGCGAAACAGCCCTCGTTCATTCGCCTGCAATGCTGTCCGTCCAGCGCCTCTCGTTATCACCGAACCTAACCCAACCATGCCGAGCAAAGATCTCTCTATAACCCTTCTAAACTGACTTCGTATCTCGTTTTGCGAAAGAACGCTCACATTTATTCATCTCGTCTGCACGGGGTTGTCTGGCTGTTATCTCCTCCATTGTGCTTTCTTCTCGTACTTCCTGTTTAGCGGTAAATTATTGTTGCACCACATTAGCTCAACCGCAGTTTCCAGAACTTCATTTCATACGTACAGCAATAATTACCGAAATTTACCTGCGTTAGCGCGAGAGACGTTTCCGGACTTTCGTTTCTAACTCATTCACTTCCCCGTCGCCACCATGCCCGCATCGCGTCTACTCGCGCCCCGCGCACCCTCCGCTCTCGCCGACCTCACCGCAGCGATTCGGATTCACGACGCACCTGCCGCGGCTGCAGCCTTCTATTTATCTTCATGCAACTTGGCGCTTTTTCCGCACGGCTTTGGGGCCGGAATTGGCGAGCGGGGTGTTGGCAGCTCCTCGCGGTGCGGCTGCCACCAGCAGCGCAGCTGCCGCGCTAGGCGGCACGCTCGACTGCTCGCTGCGCGCACACGTAAAGAATTCATCGCGCGAGCCGCCATTCGCTCTACTTTTCCGCCTCCCTCTAGTCCTTCTGCTTCCGCGGGCCGCGTTCACGCCGCCATTGCTGCAGGTGCCGCTGCGACCGTGGAGGCGCAATCTGCGGCCAGCGCGGCTCTGCCTACCGTTTTAATTCCCACTGTTCTGCCACGTGGCATCGAGCAAGACAAAGGCGAAAGCCAACCATCGATGAATCTCGACACTTGGGCGGGCGGCTCGGCGCAGAATGCAGCGGGCCGCGCAGAAGGTGCGGCGAAAGGGGAGGAAGAAGCTGCAGCGCGGAAGGTGGTCGCTTCACCGGTCGGAGAGCGATCGGAGAGCGCTGCTGGCACGGCGACGATGACGACGATGCGGAGGACGAGGACAACGGGGCCCGTGGTCTTGCATGCTGCTGATGGTGAGCGGCGCGGGGATGGGGGTGAGAGGCGTGGGGATGGGGAAAGAGACCCGAGACCGTAATGGCACCAATGGCCTTAATAGCGTGTAGTTTCTTGTGGTCATGGTCCCTGTCAGTAAGCCAAGAGATGCCTATCACTGTCTTCAGTGCCTTGCGCCCTCCATGCCGCAACCGTACGCCCTCGTCGTCCACCTCATGTACCCCACTTCCCTACCCAAACCTCCCCTCTCTCACCCTTCCCCGTCTACGCGCGCGCCTCGCCCCCCTCTTCCCCCTGCCAGTGCAAAGCGACGGCAGCGTCATCCTGCGCTTCGCCCCCCTGCCCGACCCCCTCGCGCCCACCGCGCACGCTCTCGACCCTGCCGTCGCAGCACCATACGCTGAGCGAGACAGAGGCGCGGGGGCAGCGCGGCGGGGAGAGGGGGAGCGCGCGAGGGAGGTGCGGGCGGACGCGAGGGTGGTGGCGTTCGTGACGGCGTGCACGAGCGAGTTCAGCCGCGAGGTGCCCGACGCACTCATAGAGGAGATCGTGGGGCTGCCGCTCCGCCTTACCCCGTGAGTGCTGCCGCTCCGCCTCACCCCGTGAGTGCTGCCGCTCCGCCTCACCCCGTGAGTGCTGCCCCTCCGCCTCACCCCGTGAGTGCTGCCGCTCCGCCTCACCCCGTGAGTGCTGCCCCTCCGCCTTACCCCGTGAGTGCACCAGCCACTGCCGGCTCCGTCCCCTTGCCATGTTGCTGCTGCACCATGCATGCAACTGAGTCCTCGCTGCTCACTTGAATCTCCGTTCCACCCATGCTCATGTTGCCTCGCAACTGACGTTTCCCCCTCTCCCCTGTTTCTCCATCCCCCAATCAGAGTGGACCACGTGGCAAAGTGGGTGGCCATCTCAGCGCACCACACCGTCACCGCAATCAACCACGCCATCCACCTGCCAGCCTCCGCCCTCCACCTCCACCACCACTCCCTGCCCTCCCTGCCGCACGTGCTTGGCCTGGCCAAGCCCCTCCTGCCTTCCACCCCCTCTTCCTCCCCTTCCACTGCACCTCCTGTGGTGGCCCAAACGGCACCACTGCAAGGTGGTCAATCTCCGCCCCCTCTAGCCATACCAATGTCTGCAGCAACAGCCTTGCCAGCCCACCGTGTTCCTCCCTCGCCAGCCTCCCCTCCACCCGCCTCCCCAGCTGCCTCTATTGCTGTCACTGCCATCACCGGTGTCGTGCTGGCAGGCTTGGTTCAGTTCCTAGCCTCGCTTGCAGGTCTGGTGGGACGTGTGCCGGGCGGCAGCAGTGGGGTGGGTCAGAGGAGGCTGCTGTGGAACCTTCCAGCAGCGACGGTGCTACTGCTGGTGCCGGCGGTGAAGGTGTGGGCGGCATGGTGGCATCAGCACCGCGGGCAGAATGTGGTTGCAGCTGTTGAGGCGAAGGGTTTGTAGGTTCAATTGTGTGCACTTCGGGGGAAAAGGGCACAGGTAAAAAGGACTAGATACAGGGGTGTAGATAAAACGAATCAGTGAGGGGAGGGGGGGCGAAGGGCAAGGAAGGGGTGAGGAGGGAGGGAGAGAAGCAAGGAGAGGGGCTTAACTGATAATACATACGGGAAGATGTCAGAATTCCGTAGTGTTGTAATGTGTGTTTCAGGTGTGATTGTGTGGATTTGATTGTGATTTGTACATATAATAATGTTTTTGGAATAAGCATATATTTCCAGATTCTGTTCATGGCCCCTTCGCTTCTGATGAACTGCCGACTATTATCGGAGCTGTCATTTCAAAGGAACAACCAAACCAGCCCTTGACAGCTGTTGAAGTTGATGGACGCAGGAGTGCCCCCTTTTGTTGGTCAGCTCCGCAATTGTACAAACCCTCGCTGGGTGAACAAGGTGATTGTACCCATCGGTGTGGCACATGGACCAGCTCTCGTGGAGGCTGACAGACTGGGCTAGCATGAGGGGTCATACCCGAGCCCACATCCTTTCCGGGGCAACCCAACCAACCTTTGCGCTTCTACAGAGTTTGACAGCTTTTGAACGGTCCGATGTGGGGCGACTTTCTTCAGCGGTTTAGGACTGAACAAAACACGCGATCTGTCGTTTAGCGATCTGCCAGCTGCTTCTGGCTGGAGGGGCCACACCTCGCACACGCCCTGACCATCCGTTCTCAGCGCATCTGTTCGTTTCCAACTGCCATTACACCAGCCTGGGCAATGGGCCTGCCAGCGAGGGTCGTGTTACGGAGGTCCCGTTTTTTTGTTCCCGAAGCACCCAGTGGCTGGCTGGGTTGTTTTGTTTTCTGAATGCTCAAGATCCTTTTTTACTGTACAGTATTGCTTTACGAGTTCAGCGGCATAGCTCGCTCGGTGGTTTCTTTCCAGCTGATCCCGCCACAACCACCGAGAATGGAAACGCAATCCTGTAGTGTATCGGGAAAAGTCTCACCATCCAGAACCGGGATTCGGTTGGTTGGCTCGGGGGGCGAGGGAAGGGAGCCAGCCAAGCCGAGCAGAACAGTCGAGGGGTGCGTTTGTGGATCGATCAGCAAGCTCTAGCTCGAGCCGTACATAGGTGTTCGGCACTCCACTCCACTCATCCCGTCACTTGTCGTCTCAGCGCAAGACCTTCAGTTCCCTCATTTGTTTCTGGTTACAGTAGCTTGACAAGGAAGGCCTCTCGCTCCTCAACCGCCTCGCGAGTCAACCTTAGACTCCTATGTGCAATAGTTTTATGGGCCGGCGCAGACAGCTTTTCGTATACACTGAAATAAAATTGAAACACGATACGAAATTCCCCAGCGACCACCAGTAGCAATCAGTCGCAGCATGGCGTCTGTCAGAGTAGCCGCCGACCCCCGTCAAGTATTCACGCAGTACGAAATCGACGAGCTTTTATCGCGTATATCATCGGGAGCCACCAGCAACGCTGTGGACGCGATCATGGCGTCGGGAGCGGCGCGGCATTTGGCGGTGCGGCTCCTCACAGGCGAAACCGTCGTGGACGAGCCGCGTCCGCACAGCGCGGCGGCTGGCGGGCGGAGGACGGGCTCGAGGCCGAACATTACGGCGCGGCCAGCGGGGCCCGTGCCGCAATCAATCTCGTGGGAAGGCCCTTCGGGATCGTCTCCTTCCCCGCGTTTTACTCACACTCCGCGCTCCCCGGCCGCACGAATCAATCCCCTGGACTCTTCAGACCCCGCGGAACTTCGGATGAATAACTCCGCCTCGCGCACGCAACCCGACGCGGTCAGTTCTCCGAATTCGCGAGGCACTGTCAGAACCGGCCCGCATTCCGCGATGCAGCGCGCTCGATCGGAGTTGCCGGCGCAGTTGTTGGAATCTCCCCGTTGCGGCACGTCGTCTGGAGTTTCCAGCTCTGGATTTCCCGCAGAACAAGTCTCGCGTAGGAAGCTGCCAGGAAGGTCGTTCTCGGCCCAACCTGAGCGGCCTCGCTCGAGCGGCCGCGTGGACGGCAGCAGACGCGGCGCTGAAAGCACCTCTCCGGGGCTGATCAGTCCGCTGGACTTGCGGCGGCAAGCAGGGGCGGAACGCGCTGAGCATTCCTCGGGAGCAGCGCGCGCGGCGCAGGCAGAAGCGGGCAGGGTGGGCGATCTGAGGCGCAACGTGCTTGAAAAATCGCTTTCCGATAGGCCGGAGCGCCCCTTGACGGCCGCGGGGAGGTGCGGCAGCGGCGGCAGGAGACTGAGCAGCGGGCTCGGGCGGCAGACAGTGGGAGACGAGCGCGGAACGAAGGGGAAGGAGGGGGGGGTCTGGGCGGTGTGCGATAGGCTGATTGCAGAAAACGACAAGAGCACGACTCCGAGAGAGGGCGGTGCGGGGAGCCCGAGGGGGAACGCAGGGGAACAGAGACGGACAGGCTTGAAGGAGATGCGGGGAGGTGACACGAGGGAGCATTGTGCACACGGCGAGTGCTGCAAAGCGCAGGAGATGCTAGCGCGGCAGGTGGACGGGCTGACGCGGCAGGTGGAAGAACTGACTCACACCAACGCGCAGCTGAGGGAGATGCTGCAGGTGCGGTCGGGGGAGGTGCAGCGCGCGGAGGAGGCGCTGAAGGTGGCGCAGGGGGAGCGGGACGCGCTGGCGCAGGAGATGGAGGCCGCCCTGCACACCTGGATGGCCCCCACGCCCAGAGCCGCCACGCCTCGGACGGACGTGACTAACGCGAGCGTGACAATAGAGGAGCATGCGGCAGTGGTGGGGCAGGTGGCAGCGGTGGAGAGGGAGAACCGGGAGCTGTGGGCGATGCTGGAGGGGCTCAGCGCACAGAGGGAGGCGGAGCTCAGGCAGACCGAGGGGCTCCGCATGAGGGTCAAATGCATGGCAGCGGCTTCAGGAAGCCCAGCCAGCACAGGCAAGAATGGTGGCGGGTCACCCGAAGGTGGAGCTTCCCCTTCCAGAAACCATGGTTCCACCACGACATCGGTCAATAGCGCGCCTTCAGCTTCCAGGTTGCCTGGTCACAGGCATCAAAGCTCACTGCACTCAGTTCAGTCGGTGCCAAACCCTGCAATCATTTCTCCCTCTTCCCCAGTTAACGCAAGACGACGCTTCCCGTCGAGCGCCTCCGTCCCGGGACCACTGCATCATCATGTCCACAATAACGTCAAGTCTCAGAGGCTGGTGGTTGAGGGCTCCACGCTTTGTGTAGGCTCCAAGAAGAAAGTGTGGTTTGGACAAGATTGATAAATTTACATCCTGTCTGATATTGCGTTCTTGTAACAAAATCAGTTAGTGGTAACAAATGCCAACCGAAGCTCATGCTCGCTCGCAACATTTTGGTTCCTTTCTCGCTGAGTGTCGAAGCTCATTTCGCAACCAATCAAGCAGTGGGCGGTGGGAACAGGCAATGCACGCCTACGATTGCTGCCATTTCAGCAGCTCCTCGCTGCACAACTCGTCATTTTGTCGAGCCACGCCACGCAGTCGGCTTTTTGCCTGCGTTTCCTCTGCCAGATCCTCGCTTCTTTACGAGTTTGTCGAATAGCGCGAAGAGCGCTCGCCATGGACAGAGGCGCTGTTCAGAGCAGCTGTATATGTTGGTTCATACGAGCGACTTCTTGTGTGCGCTATGCGTGGAACTTTGCTAGTGACCTTCTTGTTCTCGCGGTACTACTATCATCCTTCACTAGTAAACGATGGCTACTTGCCGACTTGGTCTCCCGCTTCTTCTCTTCCTTACCTCCATGATCGTGACATTCCCGCCGACTACGGCCGCTGATGTGGATTTCGGTCGGCATGCGGGGAAAGCGATGCGCACGCTCTTAAGACTTCCGCAGTACAGCTCGTCGGCGCCTATGCTGCAAGCCATACGTCAGTCACCTCAACGTGCCCTGTCCTTCGAGCAGTACCAGTGCAGTCAAAACCTTGCCACAGTATATTTTTTAGTGAAAATCCTTGCGTTTTCCACCGCGACGGTGTTTCTGGCTCCGTTGGTTACAGAGTAATTCAACCCCTATCTTGATTCCTCCCCCCCACCTTTGGTCCCCTGATGTGTCTAATCCAGTGAGCACCATGTCGGAGGCGAGGGCGAGTTCGTCGGGTTTCAACCTCTCCGTGACCCCTGTGACGCTTCTCGTGCCAATCAACCCCAATCAGCTCTGCCGCTCCCTCAAGGGGTTCAAGGCGCGCTCGCTCCTCCGCCTCCTCGCCTTTCACGTCGTCAAAGGGCTCTACACGCAAGAGAGGTTGACGGCTCTGCCTCGCGGCGCCAAAATGCGCACCTTCTTTCACCGCCACTCCATTCGAAAGGTCAATGGGCCGTTGCTGCCGGATGCGGCCCTGCTCTCTGGCTATCCGCCGCTGTGGAAGAGGCTGGGCGGAATATTCCAGAGGAAGAAGAAGCCGGGGAAGTTGTGGGAGAGGGTGCTGCCTGTTCAAGTCCTTCAGTTTGATGTCTACACCACACCATTCTTCACTGTTCACGTTGTGTCTGGATTAATACTCACTTGGGGGTTGGCATGAAGCTGTGGTAGTGTGTTATGAGAATGATCTGCGTTGAAAATGTTACCTTATATCATACAGCTTTCTACGGATGCAGTTGTTGGACCTCTCACATTGTGCCTTTTAGGCTGGAAAATGAATCTGATTGTCTCCCATAAACACTTCTTTTGCACAACCGTTAGTTACTCAATCAACGAATCGTGTTACCGTTTCGCGAGCGATCTATGGGGGTTTCCAGCCTGGCGAATCGCATTACATCCCTAGCGCCCCTCCGCCGACAAACTCAGGTGACTCGCGAAATGCTTCGCCGCCAGCTACGGAAATTCTTCCACACTGGTGGTGCTCGCACCAACCAACCTGGCTGGCACTGTGGGAGTGGGAGCGCGCAGCGGCAGGTGCGACCTCCACCAACCAGTCTAGCTGGGAAAAAGGAGACAACGGAGCAGATCTCCTTTCCGAGCATTCCTTCTCCGCCAATCTCCCCGTAGCAAAAACTTCTCCACGGCAACCGTTTTGTTCGTTTTTCGTAGCCATGCGTGTCTTTCAACCTAATTCGTTAGTCATAGTCGATTAGGACAGCGGCGTGAGGTTCGCACGTCTATGGTTATAGCCTCTCTGGTTTGCGTATAGCTATCATTGGTACAGAGTTTTCGTTCCTCCCTTCCTGCATTCCGATATCCGCCATGGCCTTCCCTTCTGCGTGCCGTGCCGTTCCCCTCCTGCTTCCGTTGCTCCTATCCATCTTCGCCTTGTCGCTAGCACCGCAGGCGACAACCGCTGCTGCTAGAAAACCAGCCCCGGGTAGCGGAGTCGGAGGCGCGCCTGTGATATCCTCGTCAGTGGCTGCTAGCGCCGTCAAGGCGCTGCTAAGAAGTACAGCCAGGCCGCGCCATATCTGCAGATTCTGAGTAAGTCCTTCTTGAGCTTCCATTTCCCACCTCCCATGCCTCCTGTTTCTTTCTGTTCGTTCAAGGGATGCGCTCTCCATGTATCCACCCCTTTGTCGGGCCGTGATTGTATCCCCTCTTCTACGCAGCATCCTTTCTCCTCCGCCCATCAGCACTCGTTTCAAGCACTGCTTGAGATGTCGTCCTGAGCCGCGCCCCAGCTTCACACCTTCTCCATTCATTGTGACCCATTTGCCTTCCCTCATCCCTCCGCCGTTGCTGCAGTCAACACGGTCAACACAGTCAACGCCACAGTCAACGCGCCCTACACGCTGCTGGTCCCGCTAGAGGCGCTCGACTACTGCACGACCATCAAGAAGTACCCCTCGCAGCAGCTCTTGCCTCTCATGGCCTATCACATAGTGAAAGGCCGGTTCACCTACAGCGTTATGAATGGTTTAAAAAATGGGACGACGTTGAGCACTATATCAGGGCGCTCCTTAACGAGAATAACCAAGAAGTTTGTGCCTCTGGTGATGGTGACGGGGCAGGCGAATGACGTAGCCATAGTGCTGGCAGGTGATGTGTATTCAACCAAGACCGTCACTGTTCACATCATCAGCAAGATGCTGCAACCATGGAGCACGTGAAGGCAGCTCAGGTGTGGGGGGAAATAAGCAGCAGGAGAGGGGTGCATTGTACAGGGTGGAGAATGGGGTGATTCTGGAAAGGCAGAATGCTTGTCTCGAGCTGCCAGGAAGTCGCTCAGTGGTTTCTGCAGTTAGAACTTAGCAGCCACGTTACGTGAAATCGATGAATGCAACGCCTTCTTTTTGTGACGCTCTTCTTTGCAAAGGGCCACGACTCTCAGATGGCAAGTCCAGCCACCTGAAGTCCAGCACTGTTGAAACTAGGCGATAAGAAGGAATGGTAGAAGAGGGTTTGAACTAGCAGGCAGGTGGGATACATATAGGAAACCCTAAAAGGGTTGTACTCACTATTGAGTACCCCACTACAGCCTACACAACAAATAACAGTTTGACACACCCCCATAGGCAAAGTGGGGTATATCCAACAGAACAAGCAGTCACAGAATCAGTTCATAGGCAAAGACTGTTGGCAGAAGCAGAGGGCAAGTGAGGAGGAGGAGGAAACTGGAGAGGAGAGGAGGTGGGCGGCCGCTGAAGCTGCTGGCACTGGTCGCAAACGGCGTAACTGGCTCTGCTCGCCGGCAAGAACAACTGACCCTCTGGGGACCGGAGCAACGGGTAACCGGAGTAACTGGCTCGCTCGCCAGCAAGAGCAACTGACCCACGGGCCTCTGACGCAACGGTCTCACGGGCGACTAGAGCTGCGGACTTCACGGCGGCCACCCGCCCTCACCCCCCTCGTATTGTCCCACCCCCCCCGTGTCACACCCCTCGGCCCTAACGCCACTCCCAAGTCTCCCCCACGCCCTCCCCCCCTTTCAGCTGCAGCTGCAGCAGTGGGAGAGAGAGGAGGAGCGGTAGCTCAACAGGCACGCCCGCCACCCCCATACCCCCCCCCACGGCTGCAGGCGCAGCAGGGAGATGGAGTCGGGGGGGGGGGGCGGGGTAGGAGCTGCCCCGCGACTGAAGGGGCAGGCGCGCGTGCTGCAGGGGCGGCGCACTGGCTGCAGGGGCAGCGCACAGGCTGCAGGGGCGGCTCGCGGGCTGTAGGGGCGGCTCCCTGGCTGAAAACCGCCGCCCCCCCCGAAGCGCGCGGGGGCACAGGGCGGCTCGTGGGCTGAAAAACGTCGCCCCCTCCGAGGCGCGCGGGGGCACAGGGCGGCTCGCGGGTCCCACAGGGGCGGCGCGTGGTTCCCACGGGGGCGACGCGCGGGTCCACGGGAGCGAAGCGCGGGTCCACGGGGGCGACGCGCGGGCCCCACGGGGACGTCGCGCGGGTCCACGGGGGCGACGCGCGGGTCCCACGGGGTGGCGCGACGGGTGCACGGGGGCGGCGCGACGGGTGGGAAACCGCCGCGCGCCTCGGGGCGCGCGGGAGGCAGAAAACAGCCGCGCACCACGAGGCGCGCGGGGGGCAGAAAACCGCCGCGCACCACGGGGCGTGCGGGGGGCAGAAAAATGTCGCGCGCCAGGGGCGCGCGACTAACAGGATAGCAGCGGAAGCAGTAGGGCCCATCCACAGGGTCGACCAAGGAGGGTCGACCAAGGAGGGTCGACCTGCTCTGATAGCATGTTGAAACTAGGCGATAAGAAGGAATGGTAGAAGAGGGTTTGGACTAGCAGGCAGGTGGGATACATATAGGAAACCCTAAAAGGGTTGTACTCACTGTTGAGTACCCCACTACAGCCTACACAACAAATAACAGTTTGACAAGCACTTGATGCCACTTACGGTACACTGAAGTTAATGTGTGTAATTGCAGTGCCCGGTCGTGGGTAAGTAGGTGTCAAATTTATATTTCTATTGTTCGTTAGCCTGTAGTGAGTTGCATGCTAGGGGGTACAACATTTCACTCGACCCTCTCCTTGTACCCCTCCCCCTTTGACCTAATCAACCATTCTATTGTTTCTTGTCCTAAGACACTTTAGTTCTAAGATGGTATCATCGAGTGTTAGGTTAGTTCCTAGCCTATATACGACTCGCGCCGCCCCTTAGCACGTCGCGCTGTCAGAATGTTATGCTGTGTAGGCTGTAGTGGGGTACTCAACAGTGAGTACAACCCTGTTAGGGTTTCCTATTTGTATCCCACCTGCCTGCTAGTGCAACCCCTCCTTCATCTGCTTACATTTTCCTTCGTACTTTTGACATGCTATCAGAGCAGGTCGACCCTCCCTGGTCGATCCTGTGGATGGGCCCACCCTACTGCTTCCGCTGCTGTTCTGTTAGTCGCGCGCCCCGGGCGCGCGACATTTTTCAGCCCGCCGCGCGCCCCGGGTGCGCGGCGGTTTTCTCCCCGCCGCGCGACCCGGGGCGCGCGGCGGTTGTCTGCTCGGCGCGCCGCCCCGTGGAGCCGAGCGCGGCCCCCGTGCACCCGTCGCGCCGCCCCGTGGGACCCGCGCGCCGCCCCGTGGGACCCGCGCGCCGCCCCCGTGGACCAGCGCGCCGCCCCCGGGGACCCGCGCGCCGCCCCGTGGGACCCGCGCGCTGCCCCCGTGGACCCGCGCACCGCCCCCGTGGACCAGCGCGCCGCGCCCGGGGACCCGCGCGCCGCCCCGTGGGACCCGCGCGCCGCGCCCGTGGACCTGCGCGCCGCCCCGTGGGACCCGCGCGCCGCCCTTGAGGACCCGCGCACCGCCCCGTGCCCCCGCGCGCGCTGCCTTGTGGCTCCCGCGCGCCGCCCTCGTGCCCCCCGACGCGCCGCCCTTGCCCTCGTGCGCCGCGGGGCCGCTGTGGGTGCCCTGTGGCTTCCTCCCCGCCCCCCCTTTCTCCTTCCTCTCCCTCCTGCGCGTGCAGCTGTGGGGGGAGGGCATTGGGGTGGCGGATATGGGGGTGACGGGAGTGCGTACGCAGCTGCTCCTCCTCCTCCTCCTTTCTCTCCCACTGCTGCAGCTGCCGCTGAGGGGGGGATGGTGTGGGAGCTGAGGGAGGGGTGCTAGGGATGCAGAGGGGGATGTGAAAAGGGGGTTTGGGGCAATGGGGGGAGGTTGAACGGAGGTAGCCGTTGTGAAGCCAGCAGCGCCAGTAGTCCGGATGCCCTTGCTCCGGTAGCACGTGAGCCCGTCGCTCCAGTCGCCCGTGGGTCAGTTGCTCCAGCCGCTCGTCTAGCCGCGGAGCCAGTTACTGCAGCAGTCCGGATGCCCTTGCTCCGGTAGCCAGTGTGCCAGTTGCTCCAGTTGCCCGAGTGCCAGCAGCTTCAGCCGCCGCCTCCTATCTCCTCTCCTCTCATAGTCCTTCCTCCTCCTCACTTGCCCTCTGTTTCTGCCACTAGCGTTTGCTTATGCACTTGTCCTGCGATTGCTTGTTGTGTTGACTATACCCCACTTTGCCTATGGGGGTGTGTCAGAATGTTATGCTGTGTAGGCTGTAGTGGGGTACTCAACAGTGAGTACAACCCTGTTAGAGTTTCCTATTTGTATCCCACATGCCTCCTAGTGCAACCCCTCCTTCTTCTGCTTACATTTTCCTTCGTACTTTTGACACGCGCCTCGTCCCGTTAGCATGCCGTGCCCTACCCGTTAGCAGGCCCCGCCCCTTAGTCTGCCCCGTACCCGTCACCCGTCACCTACGCCCCTCACCCGTTAGCGCACGCATGCCGCCGTGCTCGCGCAGCTGCCAGCTCGAAGCCGCGCACGCGCAGCAGGCCGCACGCGCGCGCACACACAGCCGCGCGCAATTAGCAGCACGCACATGCAGCATTTGCAGCGCGCCCTGCAGCAGAGCAGCCGCGCGCACAGCAGCTACTTGCGCTCGCAGCTGCAGCAACCGCACGCCCAGCCTCTGCAGCACGCGTAGCAGCTGTCGCACGCGCAACAGCTACCCACGCCCCGCCCCGTCCCATGTTGTGCCCTGCCCTACCGCCCCCGCACGCAGTTGCCTACGCACTAGGAGCCGCGTGCAGCAGCAGCAACTGCACGCATAGCCGCGTTCCCGCAGCCGCGCACGTGTAGCAGCCGCCCGTAGCAGCTGCTAACTGCAGCAGCCGCTCGCGCAACAGCAGCTGCACGCACACGAGCAGTTGCCCGTGCACTAGGAGAGGCGCAGCAGCAGCAGCAGCTACTCGTGCCTTCGCTATGCACTGCTGCCCGTGCTCCTTGGCAGGCCACTCCGTTCCCCACAGCACTAGACCACCGCGCATCGCTCCCGACCGCTCCCCACCGCACTCGACCGCACCCGACCGCGCTAGTTCGCTCCCGACCGCACTCCACCGCATTGTACCGTACTTGACCGCTCCCCACCACGCTAGACCGCACCCAACCGCACCTAACCGCACGTGCAGCACCTTCCAACGACTTCTGTCACTGACGTTCCACCCGCAGCGGCTGGCAGCCGCAGTACACTTTGCTAGCGTGACTTAGGTTCGGCTCCGTGTTCTGAGTAGTGTTCCTAGCCTCGCCCCTCTGGCCCTTTTCGTCCCTCGCCTCGCTCGTTCCTCATTTAGGCGCTTTCTAGCCTCGCCACTCTGGCTTAGGTCGCTACTGGCTCAGGCCGTTCCTCAACTCGCCTCTCGTTTCTAGCTCCGGCCACTTCTAGCCCTGCGCTTCTAGGCCGGTAGTTCCCTCATTATGGCGGCCCCTCACGTACTGCGTTTTGATGCTGAGGGTAGAGCCCTAGAGTTTCCCTCCTGGCTCATCCGTGCCGAGCGGTTCCTCAAGATTCAGCGCCAGGACAATGATACACTCTGGGCGCACGCCTCCGGTGACCTGCCTGAGCCTCCCCCGCCTGCTGCCCTGGGTGTTGAGCCTGATGAGGCGGCACAGGCGCGCTTCGATAAGGCCCATACCTCTCGTTCGGTGTGGCAGTCGCGTGACGCTGCGGCTTGCATCGCCCTCGCCAGCCTTCTCCTTGAGACTAAGGAGGGTCACTTCTCTTAGGTTCGATTTGCCAAGGACCTGCGCACTGCAATTAAGACACGCTATGGCCGCCTTCTTCTGCCGTTTCTCTTTCATGACCTAGCTGCGTTTGACCGCACTGCTGACCTTATCACCCACCTGCGCTCCCT